GGAGAATTTGGGAGGGGTCCTAATGGCAGGGAGGGAGTTGATCAGAATATATAATCCTAAGTGTTCCTACAGGATGACGTCCTGATTCCCTCTCGCTTCATCTCCTACCCTCGCTGCAGTCTCTCTGGTATTTGCTGGGGTCCACAGCCATGCTCTTACCCCCTCCAGGAGGGCATTTGCAGGACTGGCGCCATGGCCTCGTTGCCAAAAGCAAACTTATTCTCCAAAGCCAGCTCATGCATTTCTTGAAAGCCTTCCCCACCACACCCACACACACAGTGTTAGGTGTTGCCAAAGCATTTTAAACACGCTCTTACTATAGTACATATCACATTATGGTCTGTTTAAAAATCAATGTATTCACCCAGTAAATATTTTCCTTCTCATGTGCCAGGCACCAAGCTGGGAGCTGAGGTTACGGGTATGAACTCAACAACCCTGGCTGTAAGACGCTCACAGCCGGGTAGAAAGACAGCTCTCACCATGCTTGAGAGGTGCCCTAATAGAGGAGGAGCGCAGGCACGGGGGCTTGTGCCCCTACAGCACCAAGACACCGAGTCAGTCTATGCAGGGACCACCGAAGGTGGCGTAGCTTCGGGAGGGAAAATCACGAGTTGTTTTAGACGTGCTCAATTAGACACGCAAGTGGAGATGTCGAGTAGGCAGTTGCCTATGAGTTTACAGTCTGGGAGGGCTAACCTGGAGATACTTGTTCAGAGGCAGAGGCCAAGGGACAGTATTTAAAGATGCTTTAAATGCTTCTGGCATCTGGTAAAGAACAGAACCCAGAACTGAGCTCTGTGTCTCCCTACCATGAGTTGACCTTTCTCTTCATATTTTCTTTGAACCACTTTTTTTAGTGGATTTGAAGCTCTTCCTAGGAAAGACAATAACAATAATAATTTCCACTGTTGACATATGCCAGATGCTTTATCTGCAGAGTTTCTAATAATCACAGTAACTCTATGGGATGGGTACTATTATCCTCAGTTTCTAAGTAAGAATACTCAAGTGCAGAGGATCAATGCTTTGCCCCAAGTCACAGCTGCAAGGAGGCATGGTGCTAATTCCAGTCCAAGAATTGCAGGCTAAGAAGCCCACATTCTTCCCGCTGCATCTTCCTCTGAGCCAACATGTCCAGTGACTAGGAACAGGTCCCCCCAGCTCCTCCACCCCTCACTGAGGGTTGTCTCCACAACCCAGTGTTTCTCATAAGAATCTCCCAGGAAGCTTGTGAAAATGCAGTGTAGGAGGCTAAATAATGGTCCCCAAAGATATCAAGTCCTAATTCCTGGAACCTGTAAATATTACCTTATATGGAAAAAGAGTCTTTGCAGATGTGATTAAGGATCTTGAGACACAGGGAGATTATCGTGGATTATCTGAGTAGGTCATAAATGCAATCACTAGTGTCTTTATAAGAGAGAGGCAGAGGGAGATTGAACACACGGAAGAGGAGAAGGCAACGTGACCATGGAGGCAGGAAGCAGAGACTGATCAGAGTGATGCAACCACAAGGCAAGGAATGCCAGCAGCCACCAGGAACTGCAAGAGGCAAGACAAGGAATAGATTCTTCCCCCAGAGCCCCTAGAGAGAGGCAGCCCTGCCAACACCTTGATTTTGGTCCAGTGAAACTGATTTCAAACTTCTGGTCTCCAGAAGTGTGGGGGAATAGATTTCTGTTGTTCTAAGCCACTAAGTTTGTGGTAATTTGTTTCAGCAGCTCTAGGAAACTAATCCCTGCAGATTCCAAGGACACATGCCCAGAGAGCTGGATTTAATAGGTCTGCTTTTTGACGTCAGCCAGAGTAATTCCCACACCAATGATCCACAGACCACACCACCCCAATGCCCAGGCAGGGGACTCATAGGACTTAAACCCTTAAACTAGAGGGTTTTAATCTAGGGTCTGTTCCTCCATGGAATCCATAGTTGAATTTCAGGGGTTCCAATCTTAAAATTCCTTAAGATTTTAGGAGAAACTGTGTGTGGGTATGCACACATGTTCATATTTTTCAGGGATGAGGTTTTCTTCAGATTCTCAAAGGGGTCACAGAAAAGGTGGAGAACTAACTACTATTCTAAGAAAAAACTGTTGAGGTGTGTTGACCTGGTCCAGGGTGGGTGGGGAGGATTGAAGCAATGTTTAAATTAGGCCCACCTGGGGCCGGCCCCGTGGCTTAGCGGTTAAGTGCGTGCACTCCACTATTGGTGGCCCGGTTCGGATCCCGGGCGCGCACCAATGCACCGCTTGTCCGGCCATGCTGAGGCGGCGTCCCACATACAGCAACTAGAAGGATGTGCAACTATGACATACAACTATCTACTGGGGCTTTGGGGAAAAAAAAGGAGGAGGATTGGCAATAGATGTTAGCTCAGAGCCGGTCTTCCTCAGCAAAAAGAGGAGGATTGGCACGGATGTTAGCTCAGGGCTGATATTCCTCACAAAAAAAAAATAATAAAATAAACTAGGCCGACCTTCCAAGGGTTTCTGCTGAACCTGAGGAAGACGAAAACTGTAATAAAGATTTAGTCAAATTAAGTAATGGTATTTTCAAGTCGAAACGAGACTGAGAACATAGGGTAGCCCTTCCTCAGGGCCAAGTGAGAGGGTGACACAAGACTGGGTGGGGTGTGTCCTCACTTCATTGAGATAGTGGAATAGATTATCTTCTGGGAGCAGTAGGCAGACAATGTCACCAGAGAAACCCAGGATCTAGGCGATCACACCATGGGAGATGGAGGCAGAGACGACCATTCATAAGCACAGAGGACATACACCAGAAGAACTCTCAGGGAACCAGAAGGAAGGGTTTCAGACTGTGGGTATTGATTGTGTATAGACTATGAGAAACTTCGGTTAAATATTATTTTCCTTTTAATTTAACCCTTTAATCTTGTCCTAGTTGGTATTCATTTTATATCACTTCATCTTAATCATTTTATTATTTTAATTTTGGCCCCTTTTGTTTAACAACATATTTTAATTTTCCCTTTATTTGCTCGATTGCTTGTTTAATGTCTCTCTCTCCTACTGGACTGTAAACTCCACAAGGGTAGAGACCTTGTCTATTTTTCTCAAGAATGTGTCCCCAGCTCCTACACAATGCCTGACATACAGTGTTTCATTTCTCCTATGAGTGGCCATAAGTTTTTTAAATGAATGAACCAGTAAAATAGTGTAGCCACTTTGGAAAACAGTTTGGCTGTTCCTCAAAACTTTAAACATAGAATTACCATGGGACCCAGCAATTCCACTGCTAGCTATATGCCCAAGAGAAGTGAAAACCTATATCCACACAGAAACGTGTACACAGATATTCACAGCAGCCTTATTCATAGCAGCCAAAAAGTGAAAAAAACCCAACTGATGGATGGATAAATAAAATGTGGTACCTCCATGCAATGGAATATTATTCAGCCATAAAAATGAATGAGGTACAACACGGATGAACCTTAAAAACATTATGCTAAGTGAAAGAAGTCAGTCACAAAAAGGTCACCTATTGGATGATTCCATTTATATGGAATGTCCAGAATAAGCAGGTTCATAGAGACAGAAGGTAGATTTGGAGTTGCCTAGCGCCGGGAGTGCTGAGGGGGAATGGAGAGTAACTGCTAATGAGTACTGGGGGTTTTTTTTTGATGAGTGATGAAACTGTTCTAAAATTAGATAATGGTGGTGGTTGCACAACTCTGTGGATATATTAAAATATTGTGGGGCCGGCCCCATGGCTTAGCGGTTAAATGCGCATGCTCCACTGCTGGCGGCCCGGGGTTCGGATCCCGGGGGCGCACCAACGCACCGCTTACAGCCGTGTCCCACATACAGCAACTAGAAGGATGGGCAGCTATGACATACAACTATCTACTGGGGCTTTGGGGAAAAAAATAAATAAATAAAATTAAAAAAATTTATAAAATATTGTGCACTTTAAAAATGGTATATGAATGAGATCTCAATAAAGCTGCTATTTTTAAAAATGAAAAAAAATGAAATGAGACAGTCATGTCCTTCTTTAAGGACTTACTCAATTGACTAAACTTACTAAAATCAACAAGGAAATTTAAAAATTATAATAGTAGTTTGTGTTCAAGAAAAACAGCTCAGTGTACCAGAATTGTGCGGCAGTGCGGCTGGATGGCAGGGGACAGATTGCAAAGATCACTGGCCTCCTTGGCTGCTGGGGTCGCCTTCTAGGATGACTTCCAGAGTCTGGCTTGGGTGACTGAGTGGGGGCAGAGGGTGCCGTTGACAGCTTCAGAAAAGAGAGTGCGAGAAGATGTGGGGGAGTTTGTTCACCGGAACGTTTGTTATCTCCTTCCGAGCCTCCCACCGCACCCTCTGTTTGCACGCGTTAACGATCAGGACCAAGCCCCACGCACCCCGGGATCCCCAGCACCCAAGCGCTTCGCCAGGCGCGAAGTACGTGCATTGCTTGGCACAGAAAATGCGGTGGGTTAATGAACGGACAAAGTGCCTTAGAGTGACCCGGTAGGTCACTGTGTTCCACTCTGGCCGCAGGGTTTGCGGATGAGCCACAGCGCAGGGGTCCACCAGCGCGCCGCCGCCGCCGCTGCCTGGGGGGCGGGGGCCGCAGCCTTTGTGCCAGTCTGCTCCCGGCTCCCGCCGCTGGGGGGCGGACTCCGGCCCGCCGACCCCCAACAATAGCGTGGGGTGGGGAGCCGCGCGGTCCCGGAAACTTTTCCCTCGTGTCTTGGCCGCCGCCGCCGCCAGCGCCCGGGAGCGCGTTGCTGGGGGTGCCC